TTTTTTTTTTTTTTTTTACTTTTGCTTCTGTTGTTTTATTCCTTACCTGCGACCCAGCACCGGTCTAAAAGCCCCTCCTTCCTCTCCAGGACGAAGGACAGGGCCGTCAGGCCAACAGCCAGGTAGAAGGAGATACTGCAGTGACCAGAAAAAAAGGAGGAGGTTAATAGTGTTTTTAGTTAGAAATCTATAAATCATTAGTWCTTTACTTCATTATATTTTTACAGCATGTTTCTTCTGACATATATTAAATAAAAACATTCTTTAATTTGTTAAATTTGTCCTGACCTGAGCACAGCTCCGGGGGTCACAAACGTGGTGAAGTCTGTGTTCAGACTTCCATAGATTGGCTCTTCAAACTAGAAAAAAAGAAATAAATAAAACACATTGATTTATGTGACATCACTTCTAACTACTTAATGATATTTACACAAACATTTATGTTCACAAATCTTCAATAAATTCTGCAGTTTTCCTTGAACTTTTACCTTTATTGGCAGGTCGGCCAAATATGCCATGCTACCCATTTTATGATTCACAAAGGCCTGCAGGCAGAAAACATGACAGATTTAAGTTTTTATGCTGCCTGCTATCGATCATAAAGAGTTGTAAGAATTTAAGTGCAATAAAATGTATTTAAATGTTTGTCAAAGAAAGTGATCGAAAATGAGTTTTGTTGAATGTCATTATACAATTATTAATACAAAAATGAAAAATGCTGCAAATACAAAGCCTTAAAGTGCCTGTAACGTCAAATTTTGCAATAAGTATAAATGCATTTTTTAGAAAGATAACATTGATAACTTATTGCAAAATAAATTTCACGCCGCTGAGATGAACAGCTGTTTAGATATTTGCGTGTGAATAAACAGGAAGTGATGTCAAAGGGGAATGTCTGCGTGTGAACAGATTGTTACTTCATTGACAACAGACTGGAGAGAAGAACCTGATGTTTCTTTAGATTATTTGGAGTCACTATCGGAGAGATGAAGAAGAGTTCAAATAATATTGTTTCAATAAACAAAGTCCAGGGAGTTTTCTTTCTCAAAGAGTTCCCCTTTGATGTCACTTCCTGTTTCACGTTGGCTGAGCCAAGTTAGGTGACAAAATGGGTAAAATAATGTGCCAAGTTTCTTACATATAAATATGTTTTCTTTGACCTGCTGTRTTTGAAGGAAAGGCACGTCACAGGCTCTTTAAAGAATGAGCATTCATTGATTGAGCTGTTTTGTCTTTAATAATTTTAAGTGTGTGAAGTTTCTGTACCTGAAAAGCTTGGTGAATTTGCTTCTCCAGCATTAACCCAATCTGTTGATCTGGGAAAACATAAACAGCAACATTTCAGATTTTCAGTCACGACGATAAAAATGACTAAAACTGACTACATTTTACTCAAGATTGTTTTTATTTTGTGTTTTTTTGTAAAACGTGTAAGCATCCGCAGAATGTGAAACTTAAATGTGACATTTAATCCAGACCCTGACCAGCACAAAGAACAAATCAATATGTTTGGGCCTTACTTGTCAGGTCCAGCCAGACGTGTACTGATCCTCCATCAACCACCTCCTTTGGAACCTGCCGCTGCAGAATCCTTAAAAAAACAAAAACACAGTCAGGATCTCAAAAAAAAAAAAAACGAACAACTCAGCAGCAGGGAATAAAACTAGAGTGAAAGGGTTAGATTACGAAGACAAATAATCAGGATTAGATGCTAATAATAACATTTTCTGTTCACATAATAACATTAAAAAGCAACAGTTTTTAACTCCTACCCATCATGCTTTGCTCACACAACCCCCCCAACAACAACAGGAGGAGGCGAACTTTAGGTCACAACAACTTGTCAAAACTGTTTAAGCTCTCAAAGCCAGGAGACGTGCACACTCTCGCACACGCGTACACCTTTTGTTTTGCTAAAGCAAGGCCGGTCACACGATCGGCACATGATACAGTGGGAACCTGCCTTTGATTAGTCGGCTCCAAAACCAGACCTGCCTGGGTGTTTTAGGGACCGGGAGGACCAGACTGTCTACCTGCGAATCACATGATGGCGACTCATGGCGAAAACAAAACCTGAAGACTGACTCATGCTCACCTGACAGCAGCTCTCTGGGCCGTTCTCAGAGCTTTTGATTCCCAAAGGTTCGAAAGGAATTTTCAAAATGTAATGAAAAAACAAAAATAATATTGTGCCCATTGTGATGAAAGGCAGGTGATTATGTACTGTTTGTAATTGCCTGTGTTTATTTGTCTGTTAGCAAAATATCTCATGAACCACTGAATGGAAAGTAATCATCAGATGAACGTCTACAACTGATTATCTTTTGGAATCGATTCGATTCAAGATGGCCAACACAGCTAATCATAGAAAACCCAAAAATGGCCATAACCCAGGCAATTTCACAGATATTGAACTAAAATCTGCCGTGGTAGGAGCTGAGAGTCATCCACAACACATAATCTGAGCACCAACCGATTGGTTAAGATGCTGTTGAAATCTTTGGCATGAAAGGTGACACGCATTAATTCTGCAAACCTTTTTACTGGTGCAGCTCTTAAGACGTGTGAGGATATTTGGTGATGTTTGGATCGAATTGTCCCAGTAGTTTGAACGAAAAGGGAATTTTCCATGATTTATACCCTCAGATATCCGACATGTGTTTCACAGCTCTGACTGTACTGTTGGCTTTCACACGACCTGTTTTCATGAGACCTGAACTGCAAAACATATTATTCTCAGGCACGACGGAAAAGATGTTTCGGCCTCTTTTACACACAAAGCAGGGCTGAGGTGAGCGCGGTTCAGAGAGATCAAACCGGTTTTCACGTGTAAGAAGGCCTTCTGCACACACTGTATGTCTGCAGTCAGGTGCTGCAACATTGTGCAACATTTCTCCTCCTCTGTGAGGTGAGAGCGTTTCAGCCCTGCAGCTGGAATGCACCTTGTGCTTGTGTCACATCAACATATTTTAAAGAACCAGGCTGCCTATTTGTGCTTTTTTTCTCTCTTTTTTTTTTTTTTTTTGGATAATGACTGAGCAGTGCTTTGACGCACACGGCCATTTTCCTTTGTAATCAGAACACTGCTGCAGGTGCACAACGTTAGCACTGGTTAGTGGAACGTAAAAAAAAACAACTAAAAGCAGAACTGAGCACAGAGGAGGAATGGTGAGCAGGAACATGTGTTCTGAGATGGGGGAGGACAAGAAGCGTAGGATAAACTTTTAAATCCTACAAGTTTAGACACGTCCAGCAGCAAACAGACCTGACTTTCACTTCAGTTCAACTGGACACATTTTCCATTTAGTGCGTCTTTAATGGTTCCACGTGCAAATTTTCAAAACCATCACCACACCAAACTTTAGCTCAATGTTTGTATAAATGACTGAAATAAAGCCTGTTTTGTGTTGTCTAAGGTAGCTGAGGCAGCCAACTTGAATTGGGTTGACTCCAGATGGTAATCAGTTGTATTTATGCATCCAATGATTACCTTTTGAAAGTTTCATTAAACCCTGTCCAACGGTTCACGAGATATTTTGCTAACAGACAGACAAACACAGATCATGGTAAATACAAGATCACTTGTCTTTCATGACATTGGCTAATAAAACATCCTAGAAAAGTAATTTTAGCTATTGATTTTATTGTGAAATAAACTGCAGATTTGGGATTATATTATTTGTTAAAGCTGTTACCTGTAATAAGCTAATATGATATCAAATATTTTAACTCAGGTGATCATTTATATCATGAAATAAAGAGGCTGTGAAGGTCAAGACCCCAAAAATCTCTTATCTAACAAATATAGTATATTTTATTTCCTGTCCTACTCACAGTTTGTGGTGACTACAAATTTATTAAAGTAAAGTAAAGAAAAAAGTAAAGTAAAGTAAAGTAAAGTAAAGTAAAGTAATATAAAATTTTGAATAACAGAAACCAATAAAACAATCAGAACTGCCGTAATTTCATTTTATAAAATTCTAGACTTTTTTTTAGACATTCAGTGTTTCACACATTTTGGGCCAATTTTTTTTAGCGAAGTAAAACAAGATTTATTCACGTTGACACATAATCCAACAAAACCAGATACAAAAAAATGCTGCTCACATCATTACTGCAGCTACTTGTATGTTTTTTTTCTCACCGTTTAGTCAGGTAACTGGTAAAGTTCTTTCCAAAGCCAATGACTCCCCAGTACTTCCCACTATAGGCTCCCTCAAAAGCCTCATGATGGGACAAAGGAACCTATGAAGAGAATTAAAAAACATATTACATTACTTTTTTTAATTACAAATAAATCTAATTGATCCTGGCTATATTTAGGACACATTAAATGACTGAAAACAACAACCAGACAAAACACATTTTGATTCACTGCACAACATGTTTATCTGTCCTGGATACACAAATCACATAACCCTTATGTGTGCATGGGCCACGGTCATTGTTAATGCAGTTATACATGTCAAGTTGTACAGATTGCTGGAAAAAACACCGGTTCTTCCCCATTTTGCAAGCATCCACAAGTTTCTGTAAAAGCGYATGTAGGCTGCCATGACAGAGCGCTAGCCCCGCCCCTGTTTTTATATTTCTGGTTCGTCAAAGAGAACCAGAGATTCATTCATTCAGAGAGTTATGATAACAACAAATCCAGTTTGTTTTTGCTTTAACTGGTGGTTTGAGCAGTTCAATCATGAGTTCGGGTTCAACTTGTGTTTTTGTCGGCTGCCACAACGATTGAAGAAAACTGAGAAACACTTCAGAAACATTTTTGCCTGGATCAAGACGTAGTAAAGGCACGTCCATGCCCGGCGTCCTACAAACTGCACTTTGTGCCGATGAAGGAGGATCATAAACTAATGTGGCCGGCAGCTTTAAATCTCAAAAACCCACAGAAGAGAGTTCGTTTGACCTTTTCATTTTATCGACAAAAATCCCACAGATATACACCCCGATCCAAAGCTCGTTCTACATAAAACTATATAAATGGCTTAATTTAACTCTCTCAATTCTGGGAATACTAAACAATCCTATTCCCAAATGCAAGCTGAAATATTCTGTCTACATGGCAGGATTAAAAGATGAGGAGATTAACCCCCAGAGTCTACAAAAGTCTGATTTGTTTTAATAAAAAATGTGCTAATGGAGTTATTAGAGGCAATTTCTTTTTGTTTATCGTTTATTTAAAATGACTGCAGCTGTATGAAACCCTCCAGTTCATCTCTAAAGGTTGCTAGCAAACTAGCACCCAGTGAATTTAATGTTTAGAATACGGAGGGAAAAAGACTAATCACAAAACTTTCATAAAATTATTACAATTCTGAGGGGCTTAGGAACATTTTACTTCCAGAACAGTTGACATTTATGATTTAGCCTTTGTGTGTGTGTTCAGGGAAAGACGAGGTAGTTGATGTCAGTAGCAGCTAACATCGGGCCATAGCTTCATGTCATCTACCCAGTCTGAGACGGGTGAGCCACTGCTAAAGAATTGTCCTTGCCACTTTTTTAAAAGACCCTTACAGTACATGCACCTCCGATGTGCTGCCACTTACACCAAACTTCAGTGAAAAATACTTCCTCTTTAAATTATGGGATACTGTGGATAGAGAAGTACAGAGAAATCTCGAGGATGTTTTCAAAAACTCAGCTTCTAATTGCTTTTGGGTCTCAGAATCTGTAAGACGTTTTAAAAAAAAACAAAGCTATAAATAAAATTAAATAGCCCTTTCCCAATCCGCTCTGCGCTGCAGGCACTGTTATCTGCCCCACCATCTTTCTTTCCCCACAGCCAAAAGTCTGCTTGTAAGCCCCGCCCCATCATCACCACCTAATAGGCAGCGCCTGGGGCACACATGTCAACCTGTGCAGATTGTCCGTAAGTCATAAGGAGTTTACGTCATTTTGCAGGTATGCAGACGTATAGAGCAATCTCACAGATTTTTTCAAAACCTCATTTTCAAATTTATTTAAAATGTCAGAGCCTGTAGATCAGGGATATTCAACTAAACTGTTCTGAGGGCCACAATTACTGCAGGTCAACAGCTGAGGGGCCAAACATCCAGCAATTAAAGTTATTATGTAAATAAATCAAGTATTACAAAGATCTGTTACCTTTGAATTAGTTTATTTTGTTGTATTTAATCATGAATACAACATACAGAACCCCATAAAAGTAGTGATAAACAAAAATAACACATTATGCCTCTTATTGAACACAATTATTTTGACATCTCTGACTTGCCAAATTTTTAAACCAATTATATTTTCACTTTCATAGTTTTTTCTTCAACTGCTTGTAATTTTAACTGTCTTAGATGTTCATTGAAATGGTTTTTACCAGCTTGTAGCCAAGATTCTGACAATTCTGTAGATACCAAACATGTCCATGATTAACTAAAAGAACTTCGAGTGATTAAAGTAGAAAACCGGGGGTTTGGGCTTAAGAGGTGAATGAACCAATTGGTGGGCCGAACTTTGGTCACTCATGGGCCGGATGTGGCCCGCGGGCCGCCAGTTGAATAGCCCTGCTGTAGGATGATTAAAAAAAACAATAAATAACCTCAAACAGCCGTCTTCCAACTGTTCTGCCGCTAGAAATAAGTTTTGAACTTTTTCCACTCTCCTTTCCTCCTGCTTCGCAGCGGGCGCTTTCATGTCCGCAGCCGATAGACCAGTGTTTCCCAAAGTTGGGGTCGGGACCCAAAGTGGGGTCCCGAAAAATTAAGGTGGGGTCCTAAAAAGATTTTTGGAATTAATTACATTTTCGCCTTAGTTTTTACAAAGGAGTGAGGTTAGTGTATTTAAAATGGATAAATGTAGTATTAAAATATTGTTACTATTAACATTAACTATTGTTTAGTTGACCTGATACAAATGTTTATCATCCAAAAATAGCTGGGGGCACAGGTCTCTGCTACTGTTGTTTTGTGGGTCAAAAGCTGAAAAATTTGGGAACCACTGCGATAGACAACCCCCACCCGCGGGTGCGAGTTGTACGGATTTTTGGCAAAATTTACGGATTTTTGAGGCTCTTTATACAGGTAAACGTCCGAAGAGGTTGACATGTATGCTGGGGTACCAGAAGCTCAAAGCCAGTGTCAACAGCAACAGAAGAATAAACTGACAAAGAAGATTTGGCTTTTATTTCTTGTGCGCAACCTACATACTCGGCTCCACTGTTCATCCCAGAAATACATGTTCCTTACAAATCTGGCACCATTTAAAAGAGGAATGAACAAGCTTTCCAACAGTATAAAATTTACTAAGAAGCATTGTTACAACAAATAAATAATCTACCAAATACAAATGTCTTTCCTTTATGTGCTAAGTTTAAACTAAGTTTAAATGTTTATATAGATATGTGCGTGTGTTTGTATCACATCATACTGTAAGAGTGCAGTTCTGTCACTTAGAAAAAAGGAGTTTCACTGACTTTCTTAGAAAAAGGGAAGTCTGAATGTTTGTTTTACTGTAAACAGAAGTGAAACTTATTTGCTCGAGAGTAAAAATAAATTTGACATGTGAGAGAGAGAGTGGGGAACAAAAGGTCCCGTCAAGGGTGAAATCTTCGTTTTCGTCACCAGAACAAAATACAAACTAGAAGAGCAACTGATTTGAAACAATGTAACAACAGTGAGTTTATTTGAATCTATCAGCAGATCCTATATGCACACAGCAAACTGGTACCTGATGCACGCTGGAGTTGTCCAGGAAGGACAGCACCATGTTGCTGAAAGAAGAAGGGGAGGTATCGTTGTTCACCACGGCCACCTGGATCCCCTTCGGCTCTCCTCCAACGCACAAGCAGATCAGCGAGATCTGGATGACGGGCAGCAGGAACTGAAAACACAACGAGCTGAAAGGAAGAGCACAACGGTCAGAACCACAGCCGCTCCTGCCGTTATAAAACAAGCTCATCCTGATCGAACGAGGCTCCAACTAACCCCGGCATTCTCTTCATCCGCACCATGGTTTTAACGATTAGAGCGGCGATGTTTCGCCCTTTTGGCAGCACGTGTCGGGCTCGTGCCCTCCAGTCCACTGAACAGCAAAAAAAGAAGAAAAAAAGAAAACGTTGGCTCACCAAAAAAAATGTAATTTAGCCATTTAGATAAAGACTGCACAAAAACAATAATATCAGAATGTCAGAAGCTCATGATGATGTTAAGGAGGCTTGAAAATGAAGTTTGGCAAGGTTCAAAATCACAAAACTTCAGTCAAATACACTTTATCCTTATTCTTTTAATTTTATTGTTACTTTTATAACACTAAAAGCTTTTTAGTATACGTTTCAGTCCACTGAACCATTGCACATGGCACTAAAAAACAGGAAGAGGCTGTTGGTTTTGAACACAAGTGGTAAAGAGCAGTATAGTGCCACAAAGAGAGTAAATATTAAATCAGTCATTTGGACTGAAATAAAGCCAGAGATAAGTGATTTGTCTCAATAAATGCGTTCATCACATCTGTTATCTACAGAGCAGTCCAGAGTTTGGAAAAGGTCCGGTTGATAAGCTGCACATAGAGCTGATAACAGAGGGTGCATTTGAACATGTGATTGCAAAGCCTGCAGTCATAAAGTGACTCTAAATGGAATAATGAAATAAAAACAGATTAATGTGTTCAGATAAACCTCCCTTTCAGAGATTTAAAGTGGTGTATTTAAAGTGATGGTTTAAAACAATAGACACTTCTGTATTAGCTCAGAGTCTTCAGTCCAGTGATGTGAATTTTTGATTGTGTGATAGAAAAAAATAAAATAAATACCCGAACACTTCGGATGTTTTTCAGCAGGTGGAGGGCCGATCCCGAGGATTGGCTGACTCTCGTCCCGCCCGCTTTCGAACGATTCGCTTTTCTCCAGGGGTCCGCCCGGAGGACCGGATCCTCGCTGGATGCTGTTCTGGTCTGACGACTGACACAGCTGCAGGAAGGCGTGTTCCAGGGTCTGCAGCAGCAGCACACAACAAACGGTAAAAACAGAGGCGACTGCTGCAATTTAGACAATACATCCTGCTTTGAAAGGCTGTTTCTGAGTGCGCTGGTGCGAAATGCATCGTGAAATGTAAAAGCAGGACTAATGACACCGATTTCTAAACAACCTCCCAGCCCTGACTACCAGACTCAGGAGTGTTATCCACAGTGGGTTAGAACGGTACTCACTGCTGCACTGTGCTGCTTCATGACTGCATCAGGAGGACCCTCAGCCAGCAAGTGTCCRTTTCGCATGAGGCCGACCTTCAAAATAAAAATAATGAATAATTAAGGATCTTTTGGTCTAACTAAAATAAGAATAAAAAAATGTACTTTTCCCTCTCCTCTCTTCATACTTCAATCATCACCTTAAACAAACACGCATAACTACTTCAGAAAACACAAAAACCAGTATGTAGTTAAATCAATCAAAAAAATATTAAGGTAAAATTTGGCATGATCGTTGCTGAGAGCCAATCCCATCACATATTCAAAAAGTTAATAGATTACATAAATTCTTTGCTTAAAACTTTAACATTTCCTGTTGGAGTCATTGGTATATTAATATCTCATAAACCATATGATGATTTCTAATGAAGCTTTAGACGGTAACCATTTGGTGTRCATCTACAATTGCTTTAACATTTGGAGTCAATCTGATTCAACACACCGCACAAGTTTACATGCATTATGCAACAGTTTGGAATGGTAGTAGCTGACAGCCATCCCCATCACATACGCAGGGGACATCTTTGTTTAATACGTTCGCATTGCGTGTAAATTCTTTCAAGAAACGCTACTTTTAATGCTTTTATATATTTTCTTTGCAGCCTGTTTAAACAGCAGTCTTGATTTACACCTCCTCTGTAAATAGACTACTTGGTAACAGACCGATAAAGCTACAGTTTTCTAGGTCATGTCAAACTGACATGACAAAGTGGCATTACTGGAGGAGCTCTTTCCTTAAACATTAAGCCTTGTTTTGCTGAGCTACCTGCTACGTCTCACATTCTTCTGCCAAGGTGAAAGAGTCATGAAGGCCAATTAATGAGCATGCATGCGTCACTGCGGCTCGCTTGTTTTGACTGTGAAGGCAGAAATCTCTACGTGGTCGGACGGGTTTTATTGGAGACTCTCTGCCTCTGCTGGCAGGTGCTGCAGCAGTGATAAGATGAAGTGATCTTGAATCTTGATCTGAATTCTGCAGCTTGGGGAACAAAGATTCCAGTTGAGTGTTTACAGCGTGACATGTGGGTCAAATGAACAGGTGGTGTGGAACATGAAAAGTATGACACAGATAGCTGCTGGTATTTCCTAAGTCATTCTTTGTGACTCCCAGCTGGCGGGGAAAGCTTCTTAAACTGCACTACAACTATCACGGGACAATCATTTCTTTGTTAGGACCTTGACAAAGAGTGAAATCTTTTCAGTCTTTAGCTGTATGAGGCATATGTGACGGTTCACAGCTGCTGAACTGTGCATGAAAGATTTTCTTCTCTGTTTTACTTTTATGTAAATGTGAGGTACAAAAAACTTTGATCTGAGCTGCAAAGACATGCACCAGTTTTGTATGTGAAACTGTCAAACTCAATTTGATTTAACTACGTTACTGCAACAGATTGCTTTTGAAATGCAAGTAGTAAAGAACACCAAGATATAAAAAATAAAATAAAATAAAAATAAAATGTATAAAAAGTAAGGTGACTTGTGAGCTTGTGGATGGATGGATGGATGGATGGATGGATGGATGGATGGATGGATGGATGGATGGATGGATGGATGG